ACCAGCCTTTTGGGAACTGAGCTGAACGTCTGCCAAAGATACCATGGGCGTGGGTGATTTATTTTATACGTACACACACATGTTGTTACTGTTCCTGATTCTGCATCCCCTTTTCCTTGAATACAGTTTTCTTTGTTTCCTACTCAGACTCCATGCTTGCGAGTGGGGAAGTATTGCCTGTTAAAGATGCCCAGGGAAGGCATTTAGTTTTCCCAGGTTTCTGGGAAGGGGCTTAAGCTGGTATATGTTTAATTCTAAAAGGAACCCCTAGATATTTGAATTGGTTATCTGTGCTGCTGACTACTCCTGGCAGAAGGGGTACACTAACATAGTCTAGAGTAGACTTTACCCTTTTTCATGTCAGTATAATTTCAAGTACCAGTTCTCCTCCACTGCCTGGATTCGGAAGTGTGGTTTGGTACATTTTAAAGCTGGTAAGCATTTTATTGTATGTTAAAAAGTGGCTCTAATCTAACAAAACATGGAGAACACCCTGAGCAAGCAAAGGAAGTGACAGTATAGTGCCTGCAAGTCTGTCTTTAAATACATTTGGGGCTAGGTTTTGCCCGCTCATTATTGCTGTGAAGTGTGTTCCCTCCTGTACGGGGGACACATACCCTGACCCCATCTAGATACAATACACACAGTAGGTAAAATGCGCAAGAACCCCACCAGCTCGTCCTTCGAGCTGAACCCTTAGTTACCTGGTGTAGAGGTACCCGCCGCTCTCTAGGAGATTTGGCTGCTGCTGCTCCAGATTCAGGGTGGTGGAAGTGGGCCGAGGGAGAGGAGCCCTCACGCTGCCGTAGCTGGGGGGAAATACACAATCGCCTGCGTGGAATGAACAGAGGGTGCAAAGGGGCCCAACATCCTGCTCCTGGAGTGAGCAGTACCCTGGGTCTCGCGGCAGCCACATGCACAGATGACTGGGGCTTTGGCAGGCGTGCAGCCCCAGATGCAGTGACGGTGTAAGGGAACAAATGGGTACAGCATGCTGCACTGCTGGGCCCATCTGGCTGGGGCCCATGCCCAATCAGGCATTCACCCCCATCCCTTTCCCCACTCAACCATGGGCAGCTGTCTCCTGTCATGCCTAGCTGCTCACCTGGCCGCTTGCACGCCATCACTGCTTCAGCATAGCTGCCACAGGCTCGCATGGTGGTATACACTGGGACACGGAGGGAATGAGCAGCCTGAGACGGGGGCAGGATGAATATCCCCCGACCACCACCCGTTTGCTCTCACTAGGTCTTGGCAGGATCCTGTTCACTAACAATGCTCCAACTGAGAAGGGTGACATTATTTTCCCAAAGGGAAAACAGGACACAGCACAAGCCTGCAGCCCACAGCTTCCCCCCCCTACACGCATGAGCCTGCCCTCCCTGCCTTCTGCTGGCACGGGTCTGGCCTGAGGGCCCCCCGCCCTTCCTCTCCCCACACGTGAGGCTGGCACGAGGCCCTGCTCCCACCCAGTCAGCCCAAGCCACCATGCCACCCACATGGGGCTGACCCAAAGGCCCCATCGACCCACCACCACCTGCATGGGTCTGGCTCAAGACCGCCCCCCCCACCCCCCGCTGCCTGCCCATGCACGGCTGGCTTCGCCCAAGCCGCTCTCCCTCCGATGCTGCCGCTTGCCCCCCCCCGGTCCTCTGTGCCCCACAGGCCGGGGGGGTCACACCCCACCCCACTTTTTTGGCAAAACTGCATTTGGCCCGTTTGCTCTTGCCAGCTGGTGAGCAGTTGGCTGGGACAAATGCCCAGTTTTGCCAAACAAGGCGGGCCAGCCAGGACAGGGCTTAAAAAAGGGACTGTCCCAGCCAAAATGGGCCATATGGTCACCCTACAACAGAGGTGCGTTTGCAGGGGAGTGCGAGTATGCGTGTGCGCACATCAACACCCCCCCCGCCCCCCTTGCACCCACAGGGCTGGAGCGAGGCCTGCGGTACAGGAGACCAGCTGGGCCAGGCCTGCTGTTGGCCCAGGAGTACCCCTGAGGCTGCTGTTGGCCCAGGAGTACTCGGGGCGGGGGGAGAGAGTTTACGCTTATGCCTGCCGGGGGGGGGGGGGGGGGCCTGCAGCCTTGCTGTGCATTTCCTCCATCCAGGAAGCGTTTGTACCACGCCCCCCCCCACCCCAAGGCCGAGCCCGCCTTGCTCTGGTGAGGAGCGGAGGGTGGCCTGCTGTGGCTCGAGCTGCAGTATCGGGTGATGGGCAGCAGGGGGAGCCCGCACGCCACCTGGTCTTGTAGCAACACGCGTGGCCGTGGCAGGGCAGCTGAGCCCGGTGGACACGCGTGGGGCCAGGGCCAGCTGAGCCACATGCACAGCAGGGCTCCCACGTGCGCCAAGGGGGCAGCATGTCAGGGCTTGGGGGAGGGGAATTGGGCCTGGCTCTGCCCCATGCAGAGCCAGCCTCGCCCTGGCAGTTTGCTTTGGCTTGTGCCCAGCAGCAAGCGGTGCCCGCTGTCTTCCTGCTCGGGTTGCTGTCAGCCATGGCGGGGAGGGGTTGCCACAGCCGGCACCTCCCCTGTCGGGGTGCTGCACTGGACGAAGAGGCTAGGGTGGCCCACTTTCTGCTTGCAGAAAACTGAACCCCGTCCCCTGCCCTGAGGCGAGACCCCCCCCATCCCCCCTCCAGCATTTTCACCAGAATGGAGCGGGTGGGGGCTCTGGTTGGGGGGGTGCAGGCTCTGGGGTGGGGCCGGGGATGAGGGGACGCCGAGCTGAGGGCAAGGGGTTCAGAGTGAGGCCTGGGGGAGGGGTAATGTGGGCTCTGGGAGGGAGTTTGGGGGTGCAGACTCCAAGTGGTGATTACCTCAGGTGACTCCCGGAAGCAGCCGGTAAGTCCCTGCAGCACCTAGGCAAAGGGGTGGCCAGGGTGCTCCATGCGTCGTCCTCGCCTGCAGGCGCTGCCCACGCAGCTCCCATTGGCCACGGTCCCAGCCAATGGGAGCTGCGGAGCCGGCACTCAGGGCAGGCCCAGAGCACGGAGACTCCTTGGCCACCCCTGCACGTAGGGGGCCGCAGGGACATAGGAGCTGCAGGGTTACTGCCTTAGCCCCGCTACCCCGCCGACTGGACTTTTAGTAGGTGGTGCTGGGTATTCCAGCCAAAAACCAGATGCCTGGCAACCCTAGAAGAGGCTCAAACTGGAGGCCCAGCTGCTGTGGTCGAGGGGGGAGCTGTGTACGTGCCTGACGGGTTAAAGGGAGAGAGTGCTGTGCCCCCAGAGCGGCTGACCCTTGCGCTGCTGTTCAGGAAGCGGGGGGGGAGGGGGGGGGGTGTCGTCTCTGAGCCTTCTGCACCACAACCCCGTCACCTCGGGGGCTGTTGGAACGCGCTGTCTGGGGCGGGAGCAAGGGGCGGCTTACACCCCGCTGCCCCCGGCTGGGATGAGAACGGCTCCAAGTGGTGGGGGCACTGGTTGAGGGGCAGCGTCATGTCCCAGTCTGAGCCAGGCTGCCATTGTTACGCAGCATCAGTTAGCACAAGCCCCTCTCGCCTGGTGCTGGGACCCCTGTGCAGACCCCTAGCCTGGTATCTGGTGGGGCAGCAGTTCCCTTTGACTAAGTTACATCGGTTTTCAACCCGCGCTCCTCCCCGGACCGCTGGGGCTGGCAGGCAGCGGGGGCAGCTGAGAATCTGGTCCCACTTGTGGGAGAGCCCCTGGGGAGCTGGCCCACAGCACTGGCTGCTCCTCCTTGTTCCCAGTCCCTCAGTTCCACCTGTAACTAGCCCTGCAGAGACTTTGCCAGGGTTCCTTCTCCTTGGTAGCTAGTGCCAGGGTTACAAGCAGGGGATTGGGGGACCCTGACAGGTGGGGATACAAGGAGATAATCCTGGCACTGAGAATTTGACAGCGCCCCAATGCAGAAGAGCCGTGGGTTTGCTTATGGGGCCTTTCTGCGACCCCATCCTGCCCCAGGTAGAACGTGGCCACAACTCACCCATGTCAGGGCCTGATTAAGACAGAGGAGGCGGTGGCAGCTGTAGGAAAAGATGGGTTATAGAGCAGCAAGCTCAAGGGGCACGAGCTGGCAGCGCTCCGTCCGGCCACGGTGGGATTTGTGATAGACAGAGCTGGCGGCACCAGCCTGCAGCGTAGGCAGAGCTAGCCCAGCAGAGCTGCGCGGTTGGCACCATGTTCCTTGGAATAAGCCGCGCTGGCAGTTCTGTAAGCCGTGTCCACACCAGGAGTGCGTGGTCCGTGGCACATAGTGCTTTAGCCACGCAGGCAGAGCTCTCCTCAGGACCTGCTCCCGGTTCTCCGCTGTGGGGCAGCCAGCTGCAAGCTGAGTTTTCAAACTAAACAGCTGCATGTCTGCCGGGGGCCTGGCTGCACTGGTCCAACAGCCAGGTGCAGGCTCCTACCACGGCTGGATGGAAGCTCCAGCAGCTCAGGGAGCAAGCCCCACTTGTTCCATTCCCCATGCTCCGTTTTCCTTGGGACTGCAAGCGGGGACGATGCTGGAAGCACCCAAGGGGCCATGGCTGCAAGTACAGTTTACCCCAGAGGCACTACGTTCCGTGTTTCACAACCCTTTCGATCCCAGGGCCTGGCTTGCTGCCTTCCTAAACTGTCAGGGAAACCTCTGGGACCGGCGCCGACCTGCAGACCCGGCCTTGAGAAACACTGCACTAGCCAGGCCTGGCAAATGCAACAAGCTGGTTCAGTGCATCACGTGGCCCCTGGTGGCGGCGGCTCCAGCCACACGTTTACGACTCTGCAAGTTGACGGAGTCACTCCATCGGTGGCAGGAGTGGAGGCCGCAGCCCCTAGGCACCGATCCAGGAAAGGATTTGTGTACACGCCTGACTCCAAGCACATGAGCAGGCACCAGCTCCCATGTTCCATTCCCCGCTGGTGAGTACTGGGAATGGGTCATTACACACCCAGCTCCCAGCAGCCCCACGATCCAGCAGCCAGGGCTGCCGCCCAGCCGCCCCACCCAAACTCTCCCCCTGAGCCGGGCACAAAAGGAGACGGAGAGGAACGACTGAAAAACACAAATCTTTTATTTTTTTTGTGTGTCTGACAAACCCTCCCTTCCATGGGCACATGATTCCGGGCACAAGAGGGGCCTGAGCGAAGCACACGTGTGACAGATAGCATCGGCCCAAATTCCACTTGCAAAATCCTGGAAGAAAATTTTAAAAAGGGGCAACCCCAGCAGTGCCCACTCCAGCCGCACCCCTCCTGCCAGGAAGAGCCACAATCCCGGGTCACAGAGTGCAATTCCCTGGCGGGTTTTGTACATTCTAGCCCAAGTAATTCAAAGCCGGTTCCACTCGTTCCGTTTTGTTTTTTAATTGCCACTTACAAACACCCTTTTACACATTGATTTTCCTTTTCAAAGCGCTGCTTGGCTTCGTTACTTTTCCCCGACCTAGCCTGGGATCCCCAAAGGCCATGCTTCCTCTTCGTCTCAGTCTGCATGGAGCCAGCAAGCTGGGCCGGTTTGTGCAGTTGCGGGAGAGATGGCATGGCCTCTTACTGCCTTCCCCACCAACTGAGCCCAGCCTAGCGCACGTCCCCCAGCTCTGGTCCTGATTGACGTGAGCAGGAGCCTCACCGGTGGTAGGAGTGCAGGAGGACTGCCTAGGCTGCAGGGCTCCTACAAAGTGCATGACCATACCTTCCCCTTCACCAGTGGGGCACCAGGGGCCCTGGCACGTGGTGCCTCACCCCCCCCCTTTGCGATACACTCTGCCCTCTTTGGAAGGAAGTGCTGGCTCAGCTAATGCACGGGCACTGGTGATTCTTCCACCGCAGAGCGGCTTTCTGCCAGGGCACTGGGGCTAGTTTGCAATGCAGAGGCTCAGTACCAGTAATCAGCAGTGGACAGGGTAGATGACAAGGGCTGGTCCGACAACTGTTCCTGCCCAAGCTTTGTGTTATTAGCCAGGACCTCAGGTTCCTAGAGGGACCAGCGCAGGCCAGACAAGGGACAGGAAATCCAAGCAGAGGGACCCTCATCCCAACACAGCTTCAGTGCAGCTGCAGAAAGCATCAGTACCTACAAAGATCCCTAGTGCATGAACCTGTCAGAGTCCCACAAGGTCAGAGAAATGGGTAACATCACACAGCTCAGGGAAACAAACAAGCTACATTCATTGCCTGATGGCCAGCAGGTTCACAGGTCAGAACTAAATTCACCTCTGGAGAGGGGGGTGGCTCAATTCCCCTGAATTGTGACTGCCTGTACGGAGGGCATGCGGGAGTTCGGAGTGTGGCTAGGGCGTAGCACATCTTTGGTCCACCCAGATATCTCTTGTGCATTCCCTGTCCATCTGGCTTTAATCCTCAAAGAACGTGTCCATTGCACTAGGAAACCACACGCATGCACACGCCACTCACTGCAACCAGTTACCTTCCCCCCCTTGCACAAAGCCCGAGGCGACACCTCTGTGAGCAGCACCAGCGAGGCCAGAATTGGTGAAGGGGCCCAGCAGGGCAGGGAGCTGGTGGCCAATCTCTGGGGTGAGGGAGGCACTGCCAGCCAAAGCCGTTCAAAACCATGAAGGAGCAGCAACTTGTCTGTATCAAGTGCAGCTCGTCTGTATCAAGTGCAGCCAGAGAAAGGAAAAAGGCCACCAGGATTCCTTGGGCAGCCACCTGCACCAACCCTCCCAGTGCAGGGACCCCACTGGTGCTGCAACAACCTGGAGCCGAGAGCAATTCCAGCCAGATGCGTCTCACAGCCCAAAACCCCATCGCACCCATGGCCCTGCCAGCAGGGCCCCATCGCCACTTGATCCCATCACAGGCTGCACGCAAGGAGCCAGGGAAACCACGGGCTCAGCCCCCTGCACAGCAAACCAGAGGGGTTTTCCCACTCGGCAGGGAAGAGACTCTTCTCTGCTTTACAGCTTAGGAGCACCATCAGCAGCCATGGGATGACCCTGCTCCCTCCGGCCGGGGCCGACCTGCCCCCTGCAGGACGTTCCCATGCTCAGTACATTCGCTTTGGGCAACGTTCCTGCCACTTCTCCTGAAATACTATTCCCAGCGTCCAGTGGACGCGCCCGTTGGACCTTTAAAAGACACCAGGGGAGATGGAATCTGCTGCTTCTGAGCCGCCGGCCAGCATCTGGGGATGTAGGATTGTCATATCGCTGAGACCTGCCACGCACTCGGACTGCAATCCCACCAGAACCAGCCCGAGGCCCAGACAAGCTCCCCTGGACCACAGCCGGGAGAAATCCTCAGGTGCAGAGCTGTCACCCCGGGCACTGCTGGGATCCCACCCTGCTGCCACCGGGCTGGGAAAGCAGGAACTGAGCCCTACAAGAGGAGGTCCTGGGAATTTGTGGGGAAATCTTACAGCAAAAGGGGATTAACATGCTGAAGAAAGCAATGAAATGGTCATTAACGCAACAGGCCTAGCGGTGCCAGCAGGACCGACCCTGCTGTTTGGGCAGCCCCTTCCCTGGGATTACACTTCTCCGCTTTGCCCATGGCTGCAAGGGGTGCACCCCTCCCCTCCCCCAATCATTTGCCTGGGGAAATCACAGTGCAAATTTGCTTTCTTAAGAAAAGTGAGTTGTGTGCTAGTGAGCAGGGCCAGCCCCAGGCCCCGAACTCCCTGATTTACCCTCAGAATTGGCACACCACAGGTAGGGCACGTCCCTTCACACTCCACCCCTTCCCCACAACAGAGCTCAACCCTGAGGGTGGGGGCACCGTTTCCATGCTTGTTCTGGCCCTTAACACGGGGGAAGCTGCCAGCATTTGCAGAGGGTTAGACCCTGCAGTCCCTTCTAACCCTCTGACTCTATGGGACACCAACCACCAGGAACCAGACTTGGGTCCCAGGCCACTGGCCAGCCCTCAGAGACTTCTGGTGACTACAGACCAGCGCCAGCTTCGAACCCGTGCCCCTGGCAGTGGACAAGGGTTAGTGCTGGCAGGTCCTCGCTATGCCATGCTGTGTTCTACCCTGAGAGAAGCCTGGGACATGCGACCCTCCAGCCTCCCCTTGGTGCTCCCCCAGAGACAGCGGGTTCTGCAGGATCCCGTAGCTCTGAGTGGCTGGGAAGCTCAGTAATGGTGGAGCAAGGGGCGAATATGGACCCCTGGAGCTTGAGAGGGAGGAAAAAGGCTTTAGGAGGAAAATAGCCCAGAACAGCAGAGCTCAGAATGATGCGTCCTAAAGCGCGGGTGGCTGAGCTCCGTTCTATAGAACTGTGCTGGGATACTGCCCCCCACAGCGCCAAGAGGGGGGGCTCTCACTGCCCCACAGAATGGGGCCCACTGCATCAAGCCCCACATCACCTTGCTCTGAGTCTGAGCACCGGAGCTGGCCAAGGAGGCACCTGGCCAGGCGTTCCAGCTGGGGATAAATAGGGGAATTCTCAGAAGGGCTTTGAAATGCTGGAAGTGGCGGGAGATTCCTATGATCCTGCACGACCCCCGATCGGCTGAGAAATACAGCGGGCACCAGCTAGATCTGGGGTTTGCATCTCAACCCCTCTCCCCTGGAAGGATCCAGCGTAGGCCCATGGCTAGTCAGAGGCCCCGCTACAAAGCCACCATAACGCTACCTCTATGAGCTACTGCCCCCTCTCCACATGGTCTGAGTCAGGAGATCAAGAACAACTGGACCAATCTGCTATGAGCAGTCTGAAAAGAACCATGGACAGCAACAGCTGAGCAACCAGCAGAGAGCTGCAGACATTGAAGTCTCTCCGGCCATCTTGGGGAAGTCTTCAGGGGCAGTAAAAGATGGCGGCAATTCTGAAATCGGGCTTTCCCAGCCCTCCCCTCAGACTGTTGGACAGCAGAACGGGCAAAACTTCCAACCGAGTTTTCGGCAACGTTTTTCAACAATGGGAAAATATCACCGAACGTTCAGAGAACCATTAAAATGCTTTAAAAAATTCTCAGGATTATTGGTTTTTACTTAAAAATAAACTGAAAACCCAAAAAACAGATCACGTGGGTACTGTAGCATCACCAGGCTAGGAATTCCTACAGCTCACCCCCTGCCCACAGTCACCCCTCCACACCGACAGCAGGCCAGGAATCATTGGGCTAGGTACTCCCACCCCACAACCCTCCCACCACTGTTTTCTTCCTGTGTTTAGGACTAATCAGAGCTATATTACTGCTTGGGGGTGGGGTGGGGCCTGTTGGTTTTAAACACACCTAAACAGGGCAGGTTTGTGCAGGTGATTTCTACACCCCAGATCCTAGAGTTCCTCCATGGAGACAGGCTTAGGGTCACTTCCCAGCCAGATACATGAAACTAACACTCCCAAACTACGGCCCTGACTCCCAGTACCTTTCACATTCAGGAGCTCCCCCCACCCAGGGGCATTCACACCAATACACACCTGGCCCAGGCTCCCTTTCCCCCACCTTAGTTACAAACACACACGGCCTGTCACCACTCCTAGCCAAGTCTTCAAGCACCATACACCCACCTGTGAATTAAGTCTCATGTTACCCTGGAGGTAGGCCAGCATTATCCTTGTTTTACACAGGGGTGAGGTGCACTGTATCCTGCTCCCACTGAAAAAGATGCAGTAGGATCAAGCCCCATGTTAATTGCCTAAAGCCATGCAGCAAGTCCGTGGGTGTGGCAGGAAAACAACCCCGAACAGTGCCCCCCATCAGACCATCCTCCCTGGTTACAAAAGGCCCATTCCCAGCCCAGCACTATGCCAGGCCAAGCCCTCACCTCGCTGGAAACAATCAACCTGCTGAAGCAGGCCTGCGGCTGGCAGCTTTGAAAGCCCAGTCCGAGGCAGGGACAGGCCTCGCACTGCACAGAAGGGAGGCGGCGCCCTGGGCGACAGAGCAGTCTCCAGGCATCGCAGTCCCAGGCAGAAGGTGGCAAAGTCCCTTCACTTCGGTCTGTTCCAAGAGACCTCGAGACGCTTGGTGTTTCGGCAGGGCCTTTGCCCCGGGGCCCTCAGTGCCACCATGAATGACCCAATTCATGCCTGGCACGTGGCACTGGCCCAGTTCCACAGCAGGGCGGAAAGCACAGAGACCAGCCAAGAGCACAGAGCAAGCCTGGGGGCAGGGAAGGGGAGAGCAAACGTTTTTGAAAATTACACAAAGTTCCCACAATTTAATCGGTCAATGATTCACTCACAGCCTAGCACCAAGGGCTAGTGGCCATGATCAACTTACAAGTGGAGGGGGGAAAAGGGGGACGGGGGGGATGGACAGATGGGGCGTGTGGGGGTATTCAAAAGGGAGAATATAACCTGTGTCATGAGTGTGAAAAAGCCCTCATCACCTGCCCTGGCGAGGCAATATGGATTGTGCCCAAAGGGAAACTGTCAAATCATTTCTCATTCAAATACCAGGAGAGAGCCCATTATGAAAATTATTCAAAGCCTAGAAAGGCCAGGGGCCAACGTGAGCTACCTCAAGAGGGGCCTGGGTTTTCAGTGCTGAAAATCAGGGCCCAGGAAGGCAGCTCCAGTCAGATACCCAAAAATTGCGGGTTACTCTCAAAAGCCTTGTCCTTGCGATTATCACTCTGCCAGCCTGAGTCACAGCCCAAGTGCGTGGCCACACTAGGAAGAGAAGCGGGAAAACCTGCCTCCCCGGGCTGTACAACAAGTCTCTGCAGGTGCACACGTTTAAGCAAGAGTGGCTGTTTGGACACCACCCAAGTCCCACCTACACTGTGGGCATACGTGGGATTTCAGTGATCTCCTTAGTGCCACTTACGTACTTAAATTAGACACCTGCCGAAGCACCCTGCCGAGGACCATAACCGGAGTATTCCCCCTGGCATGGACCGTACTGCTCAGGCACAAAAGGCAGCAGAGGAGTATTCATTATACATTCATAATAGGGAGCTTTTTCCATTCAAATCTGCCTTAGTAGGGCCACTTGGTGCACAGACAATTGGTTTTGTTTACAAAAAACCCAACAACAACTTACATAGAATTGAGCCAGCCTACAAACATTGAAAAAACAATCTTACAAAATACGGCTTCGTAAACACACGCACACACACGTGCATGCACACAGGGACTCGTGTCTTTGCATCCAGCAAATGGATTTTGGGGTGGGGGGTGAGATTATCTCAGACATTAACGATCCAGGCAAATTCCAATGGACGTTACCCGGGTTGTTGCAGTCAAGACTGCAGGACGCACAAAAAATGCACAAAGGGAAAACTACATTTCCCAGCAACCAGTGCTGCTTGCTTATAAACAGGGTGTTCAAAGGGATGGGGGGGTGATGGGAGAGAGAAAGGATTCTGGGAAATATAGTCCCTACAGACACAAATCTAGAGACGTGCTTTTGGAAAGCAAGGAGATGAGGGTTTTCTCCATCTCTCTCTCTCTCTCGTGCCCAGGGAGGGAATATTTAAAATACGACCTTTAATATATTTTATTAAAAAAAAAACCACACACACAAAGAAAAGAATAAAGAAAACTCTTTGTGCAGTTTGGCTTAGTGCAAATGGGCGCGTTGACGCAGGCACTTCCGGGCGCTCTCGTTGCCACGGGAGCGGGTTTTTTTTTTTTCCTTTATAAAAAAAAAAAAAAACAACAAAACACTTGAATCCCTCATCCTGGGTGGACGCATGTCCCCCGTCTCTGCCCTCTGCACCCAGGCTCCACCCACAGAGAGGCAACAGAACAGGTGCAGCTGGGGGAGGGGCAGGTAGCGAGCCACATTTTCCACACGGAAAAGAACGACCAAGAGATGCCGCATTTTCCAGGCACAGCTTATTCTTCGGCACCGTTACCCCCACCGCCGCTTTCCCCCCACCCCGTGTCCATCCCGGACACAGAGCTCACAGATCTGACCACACACGCGTTTTCAAACAGTTGAGGCATCTGTTGCTGAGTCCATCTCCCTCCCCCTCTGCCGTCCCAAAATCGAGAATTCCCTGGAGGAGATAACAAACAGCACCGTCCCCCCTTGCCCCAGGGACGCTGGGTGTTTTAGCCCACCAGAGTCAGGACGCAGATCGGACGTAGCACTTTAAAACCAAGAGATAAAAAAGAAGGGTAGAAAACAGCTGCTCGGAACCTCGTCACATCCCCGTGGGCTGCACCGGCAGGCCGGGTTGGGTCCTTTTCTTGGTCTGAAGTCCATTTCGGTGGCGAACTGTGGTCGGTGAGATTCCAAAGCAAAAACCAAAAGGGAAAGGAGCTCGCGGCTTCCTGTGCAAGCACAGTACCAGGTCCGCTCCCCTCCTTTCCCACAGCGCGAGACGGAGCTGGCGGTTGATACTGGCCTCCCACTGCTGGATCCCAGCGCACAGACATCCCTGGCTTGGCCGGATCCCTGACGGCAGTCAGACAGCGGGAGGGAGGGGAGAGGAACGTAGTGAAGGAAGAGAAAATAGCTTATTTCCAAAAGAGAGTGATCAGAAAAGCTCCGTGCGTACGTGTGCGTAAAGTGTAAAGCTTCCAAGAGACAAGAGCACGACGCTGGCGGGGAGGAGACAGGACGAGGCGCCGCAAAAAACAAAAATACAGCGCCAGACGAATGGCTCTCAGGGGCCCGATCCTGGAGGGAACCGGATGTAAGATGGTGTAGGGAGCCGTGTTGCACCAATGGGGGTGGAGGAGGGGGAATGAGTTTTTCCTTTTCAAGGACAGCCCCTTCCTTTCCCCCCCCACGCCTAGAATCACCGCCCTACAATTCCTCAGAGCAATTGCAGGCCAAGGGGCTCCTTTTTCCTGAGTCTGAGGCAGTTTCCGGCTAGCCGCAGCTGAGTCCCTGGGGGCCCGGAGGTGGGGTCGGGGCTCGAAGGCACCTGAAGTGCAAAACGTGCAAGAAGGAAGCGTTGATGCTGACTTTCCAGAGCTGGGAAGTTCCAGTGGAGCCAGAGGGGCCCGGGCAGCGGGGCCAGGCGCGGGGGGAAGGAGGCGCTCAGTCGACGAACCTCTGACAAGCTTTCTTCCACCGGCAGGCTGTGCACCACATGTCCCGGTTCTCCATCCCATACACTTTGCGGCACTTCTTGGCCTCGCCACGGGGCTTCCTAGGGGAGAAGAGCAGATGGGCCCGTCAGAGCGGGGCTCTGCCTCGGAGAAGGGAGCGCGAGCAGCACCCTCAGCGCAGGAGACAGGGCTCAGCGGGGACGGAGGCCGATGCACTCCCGGGGAGCTGCTGTACCAGCGGAGCCAAGGCCTCTGGCCGGGAGAGGCGTGGCCGGGCTCCCTGAGACCCGACGGGGTAGGACTGATTGTGGAGTGTTAGCACGAGCCCACGGGCTCCCAGCACAGGGAGTTTCTGCATCTTTAGAAGCAGTTAACTGGCACGGTCCTGCCCCGACACGCGTTCCCCCCCCCAAGTTGTGCGGCAGGTGAAAGGGGCGAGGAGACGGTTAGACACCAGGCCTCGGAACGTGGTATCCATTCAGTGGGGTGAGACGACTATCTAAGGCCTTCCCCAGCTGGTGGCTCGTCCTCACATGCCCCCTACCTCCCCTGTCCCAGAGATGCCTTCGCTGGGCACGCTCACGGCACAAGCCGCACATTAACCTGGTGTCACGATCCCTTGAGCTGCCAAGAGCACTCCTCGTCCCGGGACTGGGCCGGAGCACCGCTGGGCTGCCTCCCCGGGCAGCACACAGCCACACTCGAGACATGGGTCCCTGTACCTGGGCCCCCAGGGACTCCCTCCCCTCCCCTCCTGGCCTGCGAAGAAAGGGGAGACAGGCAGCTAATGGAGCTGGGGAGGGATCTGGCTCCCAGAGCAGCCCCAGGTGGCCTTTTCTCTCCACCTATGAGATTAAATGCTCACGCACCTGAAGTGTCCAGCTGCCCCTGAGCCTGGCTCCTTCCCAGGCTGGCAGCACGGCTGGAGGGGATGGCTCAGGTGTCTATGCATCAGGGACAACTTCTCCCTAAAGCCCAAGGTTCCAGCCCCAGGAGGATCGAGTCGGGCTGTGGTCGGGCAGGAATGGGCTGTTAGCACCGCCCCAACTCACCTGGTGCCCGCAGCCAGCTTTGGCACAGAGGGGGGCGCTGCGGTGATGGGCGGGTGAGGGATCTGCGGCCGCTTCTCTCCCACGCCAACGGGGCGGAGCGCCGTCAGGCAGCCCTGGGGACGACACAGACCACTGTGAGACCCTCCTGTCCCAGCCAGCACTCACGGGCCTAGCAACCACGACCCCGCCAAGGCAGAGCGAGCATGGGGGCGAGAGCAGACCTGCACCCGCTGGGATCTGCCCTCTGGAGATACTAGCCAATGGGAGGACAAGGAGTCTTCAGCCCACGGTCCCCACGCTGAGACCTGGGAGCCGAGATCTGGGTGGCAGGCACCAGAATGCACCCTATGCCCTTCCACCTGGCATGGCCGAGGAGGCCTCACAGGGCTAGATGGAAGCAGTGACTGTCCATTTCAGCCTATGGCTGATGCTGCAGCTCCCCTGGTTCTGCAGGTCTCACAACCTACTTGTGTCCTGCCAAGCGGAAACAGCAGCTGAAGAGAACGGGAAGAGTGAGCCAGAGCCAGAGAAGAGTTAACGCTTGGGGTGGGGGAACCTGGCTCTGCCTCAAGGGTCTGGAAAAGAAGACCAGTTCCCCTCTTGTGGTTAGGTGAAAATCGCCACCACCTGTTTCGTGGCCTAGTGATTAGAGCTAAACCCAGGGTTGTGAGTTCAATCCTTGAGGGGGCCATTTAGGGATCTGGGGCAAAAATTGGGGATTGGTCCTGCTTTGAGCAGGGGGTTAGACCAGATCACCTCCTGAGGTCCCTTCCAACCTTGATATTCTATGATTCTAGTTCTGCCACAGACTGAGCGAGCTTGTGAAACTCACGGTGCCTCTGTGCCTCAGTTTCCCCATACGTAAAAGGAAAACACCACCCGACCTCAAATGGGGCTCAGGCAGCTTAGCATGTGTGTGTGAAGTGTTCTGCAGTCCCTAGGCAGGAGGCACCAGGCAAGCCCAAACATGATAACTGAAGATCTAGGAAAACAGGGAACTTTTCTACCAGGGACCATTTCACAGCCCAAAGTTTTCCACTTTTCACACCACACCCTGAAAGGCAGAAGCTTGCTCCAGTGGCAGCTGGAGTCTCTGCTCTAAATGCAACCAGGTCCCAATTTCCTGCAAAACCAGCCCACGTTCGAGCCAAAAACATCCTGTCAAAGGCCACAGGCTTGTCATGAAACAGAGTTTGTTTTTCAAAATGGAGACAAGACCGATGCAAACCCCTGCAGCGCACAGCATTCCAGATCAGAAGCCAGCCTGCATGGCACACGCACTTCCACTGTCTCTGCTGAATTCTAGCCAGGAAATTGCTCTGTGCCTCCCTCCTTTCCCTCTTCTGATGGACTTGGAGCATCCCTCCTCTCAGAGAGCGTATTGTGCTTGGCACCTCAGGGACAGGGACCCGTAGACGGGACGGGTTTGGGGAATGATCTGGGCTGTTTTAGCACAGTCATACGTCCCATTGAGGTACCAATATGGGCCATTCTAGGACTCCAGCTGCCTCTCTCCTGCCAGCCAACACAGAGGGTGGGGGGACTGTCTGGTTACTCACCGGGGACCCTTTAAAAACAACTGGTGACTGTGGCGCTGGGGGCGGCTGCCAGGAGATGCTGAAGCCCATCCCGCCAGGCAGGGTTTTCGAAGCAGCTGAGATGCTGATGGGAGCCATCGCCTGAAAGCCACAAATGTAACCAGGAGAGGATGAGACGCATCTGGGCACGAGCACGGGGGGGCGGCCAGGAGAGCTGGGGAGGGAGCTGGCTCCCGTCGCCCCAAAGTGGCAGCAAAGCCCGGTGAGACCTCCCCGGCGTGGGGCCCAGCTCCGGCTAACACTATGCCTGCATTGCCCAGACGGGGCAGAGCTCTGGACAGGCCTGACAGAGAGCAACAGTGCCGAGAAATGTCACAGGCATCCGAACAAGCCCCTGCCGGGCCCCCACCTGCCCATCTGGCAGGCGTCGTCTGCCCAGCTGGGCAGGGCCACCACTTCATCAGAACGCTCCAGCGGAACGGGGGGGTGGGGGTCGTCAGGAGAGATGAGCAGAGGGAGTCCAAGTCCAGCACGGTTTTGGCATTAAATACGCTCTCAGAACCTTCCTGCCACGGGATGGTTCGGCTCCCAGGTCTGCGTGGGGCTTTCGCACTGTGTGTACGAACATAAGGGCTGCCCATTCACTCCAGTGTACTGCCTCCCACTGGCCCATGCCACACACTTGAGAGCCCCCCAAATACCACCCGGGGTGGGCAAGGAGGGACCATCCCCAAAGCCCAGCTGCTGAGAATTTCTGCCCCAAAACACGAGGCACGACAGCCCTGGAGCATTTCTATCCTGCAACTGCAGCTGCTGCTCTCGTCTTTTGTCCTCCCTGAAATTTCCCAGATCTTCAGCTGGCCTCAGGCTGGACTCTGACTTTACCCCCATTTTCACACGCATCCCTGGCTGCGCCTGCAGAAGTGTCCAGGCCCCCACTCAGTGCATCCAGATCAGGCAACCTGGCTCCAACTGCCTGACTCACACAAAACGAGCAAACACACTTCTGGGAGCACTGCCAGTCATGCGAGCAAAGATCAGAGGCCAGACTGTCCCCCTAGGCAAACCTGACTCCTGCAGCGGTGAGTTCCACAGGCTCGCGGCAGCATTTCCCTCCCGACATGGCGAGGGCCATGCTCCAAAGGCACCTCCTATACCCCAGCCACTGCCTCTTCCACAAGCACCATCTGGGAGCCTTGTTTGAAAACATTTGCTGCACAGTCTGAGGCTGCAGCATGGCCAGGGCAGCAAAGATGCACCCTGTTCTAGGGACACTCGTCAGGGCGGACGTGGGAGACGTCAATGGATTTGCACTGGGCTGAGCCTGGTATGGTTTTAGCTCAGGGACTGAGGAGCCCACATGTCCCAGCATGCATTACTCCACCATTTGTGTCCTCCTTCCCCACCAATGCGGTCTCACCTGCTTTTCCACATGGCCCACCTGATAGGCGTGGTCGGTGTGGACATGGCACAGGCTCGTTGGAGCTGAATGACTCAGAGGAGACTCCACGGAGTCCTCAGGCTTCACCAGCACCGGCGGGGTTCGCTGCACCTCCAGAACAGGGAAGGCCGGGGGCACCGAAGAAGTGGGTGACACAGGGGTCAGGCTGGACAGTCCATCCGTCAGGGAGTCCACGTTGACGTCCAGCTCCGTGTAGTAAAAGTCCTCCTCGCCGTCACTCTGATCCAGGTCGGCTTTCCTGCTGCACAGGGAAAACGGAGTCAGGCGCTGGAGACATTTCCAGCCCTGACCCAGCCACGGGGGCAAGGACAAGGGTCCTCCCTACCACCTGAGAGCATTCCACATGCGATTGTGCTGAGTGATCACAGCACCTGGAGCGGTTTGCTGCTGGTCACTAGCAAGGCATTGAGAGAGACAGCCCAGGCTGGAGAGAGCTAAGGGGGCACAGTGGTCCCAGGCTGCACCCCAGGGATCCCGTCACAGTGGCGCAGCGAGCAGGGTGAAATACACAGCTTGTTGTGCTGAGCAAGATTTGCACTTCATACACTGGTGTAAAGATTTTAAGTGAGGCTTTAAGTGTGGGTGCTAAGAACAGTCAGGAGGAGGCTACCGGTTTGTTATTTTCTGTTTGCTTATTTCGGGAAAGGGAAATAAGGATGGAAAACGAGTGCACGCAGTGAAGCTACTGCGAAGTTGGAATTTTTTAGACTGCAGGTTGCAGAAAAAGAAAGAACACGAGAGAGTCTTGGTACTAAAAAAACTGGCCACGGAGAAGACGGAAAGAGAGAAAACATGAACTGGACCTTCTAGAGAAGCAGAACCAGAAACCACCGACTCCAATCATTCCCATCACTCCAAAAACCCACAACTGGGACCACCTATGGCCTGTATACAACAAGGACCCTGCTCGCTGCGGCACACCCATCCTATCCAACAACCCTGGAGGGCCAGCAAGGGAGCAAGAGGGATTCCACGCCTGGCTCATCCCACCGATAGGGGCTGGGAGGGGATTGCTCAGTGATCTCTTGGGCTGGTTAAGGGAAGCGATGGAGTGGATGGACTCCAAGACAGGAGGCTGTAATGAGAGGCTTCCTGAATGGCAGACGTAAAGGCAGGAGCACGGGGAGGCGAGGAAGAGAGAAGTAACCTGGAAGCAACCAAACACGGCTGCAAGAGATGTTGGGGAAAAAATTGGGGGAGGAGCTTTGGCAGAGCCTGCCCTGCCCGTAGGACGTAATTCCTTCCTTCCCGGCCCTCATCCTACAGCGCAGGCTGCCTAGTACCACCCAGAGCACTGCAGGACCCAGCGCACCCTCACGCCTACCCGAGGTGGACGGTTCGGATGTGCTTCTGCATCCCCGAGGAGCTGCTCAGAACCTTGCCACAGCTTTTCCACAAGCACTTGAACATCACCTTGGTGGAGTTCTTGGGGAGGGGAGAGAGAGAATGAGAAAGAGAATGAATGAGGCCCAAAGCTCCCACTCGGGCACAGGCAGCCCCACTCCATGGGGCTCAGATCTCCACCTGGAAAGGGGGCCAAGGCTCTTAATCCCACAGGCTGGGCCGAGTGTGCGTGGGGAGGGAACATGGTCCAGTGGTTGGAGCAGGGAACAGTGAGACTTGCCCGTGTCACCACGTCCCTCTGACTTGGGTGAGCTCCTGAACTGCTCCCCCAACTGTAACATGGGCCCAGAGGTGCCGGGAGGCTCTGAACTGCCAGGCCCAGAGGTGCCAGGGGGCTCTGAGCTGGCATAAATTAATCACTAGTGCTAGAAGAGGGGCTGCAGACCATTCTGCAGTGGGGAAAGCCCTGCTCGCTGCAGGGACGCAGCTCAAACTCCTCGGGCTTCCTGTTCACACCCGCGTGCCATGCGGGGCACTGGACTCTGAAGTTCAGGCCTGGCTGGAGAGTCAGAGGCCCCTCACTGTTACTGTAATTCAGCCCCCACCGGGAGCGCCCCTCGGCCCTGCAACCCGCTCCCCAAGCCCGTCCCGAAAAGCGAGTACCGTCAGCCTTGAAGGCACAGCACAATGCCCAGCTCTCCTCTCCAGCCTGGCAGGGAGGGCATGTGGACGAGGAGCAGAGGGGGAGCAAGTTGATTATTTGGGGGAGGAGACAAGTCTTTTTCTCCTGCCTGCAGAGAGGCCCCTTTCTCGTCATTTTGATGAGTCCGCTTCGCCCCCAGCACTGCTCCGGCCCCACCCCCAGGGACGGCCCCCAGCCTCGGTCCCCCTTACCCCTGTCCATGCCCTCCCACCCGTCCCTTGAGCTGCGGCCCCACTCCCAGCCTGTTTCCTGGGGTGGGGCGCAGACCATGAAAAGTTTGGGGACCACTGCTCTGCCGGACCCCCGGGACTCTCCCCCCCCCAACCACCTTCCTCACTGCGCTGCTTTTGGACCGGCCCTGCAGCCCCATCGTTCCAGCTCCCATCCTCCGCACCTTCCTCTTCCTGGGAATGGGGTCCCCGAAGAGGAAGTGGGTCGCTTCAGTCTCCTCGCTGCCGTCGTCCAGCTGGGGGGCCGGCAGGAAGCTCTTGGCCACGTCGGTGGAGAGCGGTGGCGACGGGGTGGAAGGGGTGGAGCGGTCGCTCGGCAGGTCCCAGCTCCAGTCCCCGCTGTTGTTGCTACTGCTGCTGTAGCTGGAGGACATGGCAGGACCCTCCTTCCAGGCCTCGCAGCTGGGCTCTGCTGCGGGGGCGGGCGGGCAAGAGAAGAAGAGGAATTCAGTCACCCACTGGTCACAGGGGTCAGCCCCAGGACACGCAGACGTCAGCCCCTTCCAGTGCTCTGGCAGATAAGGCACCTGCTGAGCGGAGCTCTGGGAATCCCACAGGCAGAGCCAGCCCAGGGGGGCATCCGGGTGAACCCCCCAGGCAGCAAGCGCCGTGCCCAGCCTGAGCTCTCATGCGCCATCAGGGCAGGTTTCTCCCCCGGCACAACTCCTGCAGCAGTGGGCTTTGTACAGCAAGGGCTGCCACGCTGGATGGGAACCTCAAACCATACAGGCCTCAACACTGCCCGCCCCCCGCCCTCCAGGTCCTTTGTTACGTGTGGTGTGGTGATGGAGGGGGTGTCCCAGAGCGCTAGCTGGGAACAATGCCTCTAGTGGTAGTGCCGCCAGGGCCCCTCATCAGCAGATCTCAGAGTCCTTGACAAAGAGGCCAGTATCGGTATCCCCATTTAACAAATGGGGAAACTGAGGCAGGGGGAGGGCAGTGACTTGCCCAAGGTCCCCCGGCAGGCCAGTGGCTGAGCCAGGAATAGAACGTGTGTCTCTTGAGTCCAGTGCTCTAGCCCTAGGCCATGCTGCCTCCCATTATTAAGCCAATCTCTATTGGAGACGAGGATGGGATTTCATGGAGGGGGGCAGATTATCGCCTATCTGCTGTGGCAGGGTTCTTACGCCTTCCTCTGAAGCATCTGTCCCTGACAGCCACCAGCACTGGGACACAGGGCTAGATGGACCTCAGGGCTGACCCAGTCTGCCAGTTCCTATGCTCCTACAAGTGGACTCGGGGGCCTGAATTCCGCTCCTGGCTCTGGAGGAATTCCCTACATCACACAGGATTTACAGAGGTGTAACCGAGAGCAGCACGTGGCACGACACCCCCGCTAGCAATTCCGCCTTGCCCATCTCGGGGCTCAGCATCCCATCAGTACCTGGGCTGAGGGTGCCAGGCGGGTTGCCAAGCACTAGAGGGCTAGTGGACAGGCTGGTGAGAACTGCGGCTGCCATGACCTCATCTATCCCCGCCTTGCCCGATAGCTTTCTGCAAGACAGAAAAACGGAGAACACAGCAGTTAGATCCAGCTTAGAAATTCTCTGGCCATAACCCCGCCAAGCGCCCCAGAGCTACCCCGCAGCAGCGGGGCAAGCAGATGCCCACACACCACCCTGACATCAGGTCCCAGTCCCAGGGCGCAACGAACCAACGTTCAGTCCACCAAGAAGCCTACTGAGACACCCCATGAGGGCAGACACCCGTCTGCAGGCCCCTCCCAATACCATGGAGCGCTGCGCGCCGAGCACCTGGCAACCATCTCCAGTTACTGCTGGCTGAACCAGCCACCTGGAGGGCAAAGGCGCTTTTACACCGCATAGGATTCCCACTTCCAATCCGGGCTTGTGTGGCTCCTACTAGCGACATGCAGGGGACAGGGGCAAGACAGTGACTGCCATGGTCATTCCGCTTCAGGTCTTTTCAAGCCACGCCGGCCGCGCAGGCTGGATCGTATCATACCCAGAAGAGCCACTTTGGGCAGGGGGGCTCCCACCCAACCCTCTGTCCGACGCCCCTTCATCCTGCTGAAGGCGTGGCTCATTCCCTCCACGTGGCCTACCCCAAGCACAGTGCTCCAGAGTGGTCACCCCTGGGGCAGGGCTGCTCTCAGCACCGTATCCACCCTGGTAATCATGAGCTGGATCTAAACCTGCCCTGGGCAGCAAAACCAAGGCCGCTGCCGTGGCGTGCTCTGCACCTGGGCACAGACACTGGCCTTTACACATGCACACATACAGGAGGGACAGCTGCCACCGGGGGAAGAGACCAGCCCTAAGCCATTAACATAAAACCAAAGGGACGAAAGAAGAGTCCCAAGTCAACTGGATTCCTGCAGTCAACAGCTTCCAATGAACAGGACAGGCTGTCGCCCCCTCGACGCTGCATCCTCCAACACTTCCGAGCCAAGCAGCGTGTTACACTGGGCACGCTCCCCGGCTGGGAGACAAGCTGCGGGAGCCTCTCCCCAAGCCTGAGATGAGCGCGGCAGCGGGAGGACAAGGCGTAATTGCTCATCCCTCTAAGGAAGGGTGTAGATTGCTGGATAGCGCAGAACAGCAAAGCGCACCGTAGGTTGCAGGCCAGCCTTGTGGTGTGACCAGCTGCCGTGTGGAAGGGGCAAGCCACAGGTTTGTGCATCCAGCCCCTCGCTCCTGGGCCAGCAGGAGCGGACGTGCCCCAGAGGGCAAAGAGCGCTTGGACGATACCTTGGGCAGGCCCCCCACCACCTAGCAGAGCGGCAGCCTTAGGGTGCAGGACAGGGAAACCAAAGATCTAGAGCAGCCAGTGGGTCTGGCAGCGAGCAAAGCACGTTTCTCAGTCATAGGCAGGTCAACAGTGGAAGGAAGGGAAAGGAAAAGAAATGAGCCCTAATGCAAAGAGGGGTATCACAGGCAGCTGTACACTGCAGGGCGAGAGACCCCCTTAGTAGAAATCCCCAGCACCAGCCTGCCCCCACCACCCACACACCTCAGAAGCTGCAGTCCCTTTAAAAGCCAGCATGATTCATCCTCTTCCCCCGCCTCCCCAGTCTGCATCACATGATCCACCAGACCCAGGCAGCAGCCCAGAGCTGGGGGGGGGGGGGGAGGAGAGAAGGGTTGCGCACAGGGCCTCTGACTGCCAAGTGCTTTATCTGGGTCAATGTCTAACCGAGAAAACCACGGGCGGGGGCTGGCCATGCCGAATGAGCAGAGCCGGGAAGAGAGGCTCCCGGCTGCGGAAGGGAGCAAGGGCTTTTGGTTCTGCATGTTCACGGAGGGCAGGGAAGCAGCATCTTGGGAGAGGCTGTAAGGGGGGAGTCGCTCCCCCTCTGGGGTCACTTAAAACACCTGGTTCTCCTCCGTGCAGGACAATGCTCTGCCAGCCAGCGAATTATCCTCACAACTCCCCTCCTCAGCTTAGGCAGGCAGCCATCCTTCTACCCCTCTAGCTGGGGAAACTAAGGCACGGAGTGGTTAAGAGACTAGCCCCCCCCCCGAGACACACTGAGCCAGTGACAGAGCCATGATGAATACCCAGGAGCCCTGGTGCTGGGTCACACTCCTCCCCTCCCCCCGCTATACTGACTGGCAGCCCAGCACTGGCTGGGCGAGTGTACCCTGCCGCCCGAGGGCCTGGCTCTCTGCGAAGGGACAAGGGGTTTTCAGCCCAGAGACCGACGGGAGGCTGGCAGGGGCTGCCGAGCTCCTGCAGCAAGGGTGGGTCGTGGACTCTAGTCCATACATGCCGAGTGCAAGCCAGCAACCTCTGCCGGGCATCACCTGCCGAAAGCCAGAAGTGGCATCACGGGGCGACAGAGCAGCTAGAGAGCTCTGGCCTCTGCTTGTCGAGGGCTGGAAATGTCACGCACAGGCCCTGTGTACATGGCACACGCGACAGAACACAACATACGGCAAAACAAAGCACTCGCCCTGCAGCGGCGTCCCCCTTCCCACGGGGCTAGGGCTGGCTCCTCGCTCCAGGCGCCAGAGGTCACAACCAAGCTGGGCCCAGCCCAGTGGGACAGGAGCTGCGGGGCAGCCTTGCCCTGGAAAACCCACCCCATGGCCTCCCCCCCGCCCAATGACCCCCACCCTGCCAGTACCTCTCTCCCCCCAGGAGAGATGGGCAAGTGGAGGGGGGACTCAAGGGGGCGGAGGGGAAGGGGAATATAGATGGGGGAAATGGGGCACCCAGGGAGGAGTCCCTGGAGCTATGGGTGGGGGGTGGGAGGGAGTTTAAAGAAGGAAGCAGCAGGGACTGGGACAATCCATAGGGTTTGTGTTACTGAGTGGCAATGGAGAAGTGGAGGTTAGATGAGGGCTGCAGTACTGGGTACATTTCAAGGGGGGAACCCTAAGGAGCTGTCCAGGTTGTTTTGGAGTGCCTAACTGTGGTGGGAACTGGTGAGTGTCTCAAGGCAAGGAATAAAGCCTAATCAATAATATGGTACAGGATCTATAGACAGAGACGAGTACTGGAGGTATTTTATTAGCGTAAAAGAAATAAAGCAACATTTTAATGGCTAAAACAAAACCATGAAATTCCCCAAAAATAAAACGAAAATTAAATCACACTCTCTAAAGCTTTCTGCTGGAGATGGCGCCTCCTGCTGGTCAGCGCCTTCCTTCCCCGCCATTCGTCAGCCCAGGAGGCCACCCTGCAGCTCTGACACCGCTCAGCAAGTGGGGTTCCCTCCCCGCCAGGGGCCCGATTACTCTCAAGCCTGCCAGCCCGCCTGGCCCACGGCCATCACCTGCTCTCTCTACACCAGAGCTCTGCCTACGAAGGGGTCGGACTCCTTTGGCAGAGTGGGGTAGGATCCATAGTCCAGCACACTCCCGTGGACGCACTCTGCCTCCCCGACCTGTGTATAGAGATGCTGGCTCGTTCCTGCGCTCCAGGAGAGCGCCAAGCCTACGCCGCCCGGCTGAGTGCTGCAGGTTACCTTTTCAGTGCTTAGCCAACAGCGTCTCCCAGGACCCCCCATGCCACTGCCCACTTCCCAGGGCCCTCTGGGGGGAAAGCAGCTTGGGGAAACACAAACACAAAAAAAAACCCCCGAACACCACAGAGCACCCTCCCCATGTCTCCCAGTCATTAATGTCCTGCAAACCCACTCCAAGAGCAGGAATCAGCCAGACTGGTGTATTTATAGCACATGTGGGGGTCCAGAATTTCTTGGGTAGCTTTTTCTGTGCCAAATGGTGCATTCCCTCACTCAGCCCCCAGCGTCCCCCTCACCCTGTAGGCTCCTTCTGAATTCCAGCAAGGAGCTCCAGGCTCGATTGATCCCTGGGGTGTAACTATTTACCCAGCCCGTCTTATGGCTTCCCTACAACGGAGCAACTGTCTTTGGTACACACCAGTGACGTGCTGGAGCACGGCTCACCAGCACAAACCACCACCAGGATCAACCTTGCCCTTATCTTCAGCTACTTAGATTTCCTAGCCTTCAACTCCAAGGGAGAGAGCATTCCCCGAGTACCCTGGTGCCTGACACAATTAAACCAGGTTTTCACAGCCCTCCACTATCACCAGAAGCCACTTCTGTTCCAGATACACGCACGAGGCTTACACCAGAACATCGGCGTCCTAGCGTACAAAGAGGGCCCTGAATGGGCATTTAGGGTCAGAATTAAGGGCAGCAGGGACCACCTGATCATCGAGGCTGACCTCCTGCACACCACAGTGCCCTGCACTGAGCCCAATAACCAAGAATAGGCTAGAGTGCAACATCCCCCCCAGAAACAAAACGATCATGCGCCACAGGCGGGATGGAGGTGCACTAATGGCTCAGGCCCTGCACTGGTAGGGAATGGTGTTGGTCAGACGCTCGCCAAGATGGTCCGGATGGATCTCTAGGGACTGCCTAGGAGGCAAAGCTGCTGGAATTGTGATGTCCCACATGTTGGATCCCTGTGACCACCTGCTAAGCTTTGATATCCTTGGCATTCAAGTGGTAACTGCCTGGCTGGCTATTGCCTTCCCTGTGCCACGGGTTAACATGGCCTAGACAGTCAGGGCGTTCTTGTCTCCCCACAAGACTTGCGTCATTCCGCTACTCCACCTCCGCTATCTCCAGTGGATTCGGCCACTTGCTGCCACCAAGAAAGAGTAGATGGGGAGCACAGAATTCATTGAACCAGCAGCGTTTCAACCCAACACTTCCAGGGCCGCTACCGGCCTCTGGGTTGTCCTGGGTTTCGAGTCACAGTGCAGAGAGCGGGGCCCTGGCATGCAAGAGGCAGCGAACCTCAATGAGCCTTCTAGGCTTCACCAAACCCACCCCACCCACTCCCTCAAACCCTGAGCACAAATATAAACGTTCAACGCTGGCTGCTGCATGGCCCAGACTATTGGGTAACCTACATGGCACAGAAAGCCAGCAGCGTCCCACCTCCCTCCCACAGTGCCGGTATCAGCTCCAACTTCTGGCGGTGAAGCGGAGATCGGCTTTCCCAGCCAGAGACGGCCTTGATTGTGCAATCACTACCTTGGCCTTACAT